TTATGAAATATATGAATAAATATTGTTTGAAAAAATAAATTTAAAAAGATACTAAAAAAAGTTAAGTACCAAAAGAAGAGGAGAGAGTAAAAAAAGGATAAAAAAGTCTTTTCTGGAAAAGTACTCTCTGCCGAGAAGTACTCAAACAAATAAGTGCCAAAAAATATATAAAAACTGAATCTAAAGCTATGCTTATGTATCGGAACCAGAAACAGAAACAATTGAATCAGAGAATCGGAAAAGAAGATGCCTTGATGCGTCGTTCGTTGGAGATAGATGAGGAAACTCAGCCGCAACGTTGATGCAGAGAATCGGAAAAGAAGATGCGAGAGAGAGAGGGTTATCGAAACTGGAGCAGTAGACTGGAAGGGTTGTTGACCGGCTAGGTTTTATTTCAATATCGCAAGTGGGCTTTTAATTATTTTTTTTTAAAAAATAACGCTGGGCGTCGCCCACTCGCCTAATCGCAGCTTCTAGACGCCAAGATCGCCCAGGTAAAAAAAAGCTAGGCGTGAGGTTAGGCGTCCATAACTGAAAGATGTATGGAACCAAATTAAATTCAAACCGAACTATCGGTTTTGGTTTGGCTTGGTCGGTAATTTTACCAAATAGTGCACGCCCCTATAATAGACCAATTCTTCTGTGATATTTAAGTCCATGTTCTTTTTATGGGCCTACACACGTAAAATGATTTTATGTGATGGCATTGTAAAATTAAGGATACCCAACTACGAGTATATTAAAAATTTATCTACGAGTATATTAAAAATATGTGAGAAGGTGTACATTTTACATGTGGATCTAAGGACGACAGTAGCACTAACTCCTTATAATAATCATATCCTATTAAAATATCATGCAAAATAATTATTACATGCATATAGAATCATCTGTCATAATAAACATAAATGTAAGATCTCGTGTTATAGAAGAAGGTGCAATAATAATTACTCCCTCCGTCCCAGAGTATTTGTCCACTTTCATTTTTACACACCATCCAATGCACTTCTTTAATCCATTTTATCTTGTAATTTGTGTATTAAAAAATTATAGAAATTATATATTAATAATTTATATGTTAAGACAAATCAAACAAGATCACACATGACTATATTTAGCCTTACACATTGAGAGAATTTGATGAGTCAAATTGCTTAGATGAACAGTTTCAGAAGTCGAAAGTGGACAAAAAAACTGGGGGACGGATGGAGTAGTATGCATAAATGTAGCTAGTGGAGTCATTCTAAAGGTATAGGAGAAATTAAATTAGTCATTGGAAGAACCATTCTAAAAAGAGAAAAATTAGAAGAATTCATCTATAGAAGGAGAAATTAATTGTAGCCACTAGAACCGTTTTTGTTTAACGAGCCGGGTTTATGGCCACTTCTTTTGAGTGGCCACGGAAGCCACTGCTCCGATTTGGATACTTATGGTGCTCCGTTTTTAAAATTGAGGATTCCAACTCCCCAACCCCCCGGTAAATCCCTCAGCCGAGTCCCGATCTTAACCCACCCCCTCACCCATGTCAATTGCACCCCGCAAATTTAGTTGACTTTAAAGCGAGAAAAAAAAATTGACTTTAAAGTCAACTAAACTTGCGGGGTGCAATTGAAATGTGTGGAGGGATGGGTGGGGAGGGGGATTAGGGGGTAGGGGGTAAGAATCATCAATTTTATGAACAGAACATCGAAAAGTGGCAGTGGCTTCTGTGGCCACTCTAAATGAGGGGCCATTAGACATAGCTGTTCAAAAAAAGAATAATTAGTTAAAAACCAAACATTACTTTCATGGATGAGTTGATAAGATTCCTCCAGCTTCTTCTCCAGCCATCGGATAATACGATCAAAATTAAGATCACAAGCTCTTATCTTGCATCTAGTTGCATCCTTGAACTCTCTTGAACCATTGGGTTTGGCCTTGAACACAAATAAACCCTGAGTAGCACGGATATGAACCCTGAATAGCACAAACAAAAAAAATTAACAACTTAAAAAGTCAAAATGATTCATATATTATATTCAATATTATTCTATACTTAAAAGTGCTTAAAAAATCTTTACTGAAGTGCATGTGTAAACACGTACTATTGAAGTACTCACCATGATTTTGTGTTATAATTAACAGACCGAGATCCATCTTTAACAAGATGAAATCGTTATCGTACGTGTTCATAGGCTTTTCTGATGTGGGAGATGTCATATCTGTACAAGATAAATTCTATTTTTAGTTTGTATAATAGAAATTAAGGGATAGTTTCGGGTACTTTCTTCAATGCCAAAATAACGATAGAAATTGTTATAAATGGGTAATGACCGACCGACCTGGAATAAAAAAGGAGGGTGAGAGTTCTGATTTTGTACGGATCATCGTTGAGGAAGCTTTGAAACTCATCCCAAGTGTCAATCTTGATTTCCTTCCCGAGGAATAAAGTTGGATTCACAAAATAATGTAAACTCTTACGAAGTATTATATATAAAGTAAAGCAAACCATTATGTGTACACCACCCAGTCCGCCTAAACGGATCCAAATGCATCATTGCACTTTTCAAATTTATTCCTCGGGAAAGATATTAAGGTTGACACTTGAGATGAGTTTTAGAGCTTCCTCAGCGATGATCCGTACAAAAACAGAACTCTCAGCGTCCTTTATTCTAGGTCAGTTGGTCATTACACATTTATAACAATTTCAATCGTTATTTTGTCATTGGAAAAAGTACTCGAAACGTGATTTTTATTATACAAACTAAAAATAGAATTTATCTTGTACATATACGACTTTTCCCACATCGGAAAAGCCTATGATCACGTACGATGACGATGTCATCTTGTTAAAGATGGATCTTGGTTTGTTAATTATAATGCAAAATCATGGTGGGTACTTAAATACTACGTGTTTACACATGGATTTCAGTATAGATTTTTTAAGCACTCTTTAGTATAGAATAATAATGAATATAATGTATGAATCATTTTGACTTTTTTAGTTGTTAATTTTTTTCATTTCTGCTATTCAGGTTTCATATCCGTGATCTTGATTTTTATCGTATGATCCGATTGCTCGGAGAAGAGGCTAGAGGAATCTTGCCAACTCATCCATGAAAGTAATGTTTGGTTTGAACGGCTAGGCTTAATGGCCACTCATTTTGAGTGGCCAAGGAAGCCACAACCATTTTTCTATGTTCCGTTTATAAAATTGATGATGAATATCCCGAACCCCCTCTCGCTGTCCCGACCTTAACCCATCCATGTCAATTGCATCTCACAAGTTTAGTTGACTTTAAAGTAAAAAAAATTTACTCACTTTAAAGTCAACTAAACTTGCAGGGTGCAATTGACATGGGTGTGGGGATGAGTTGGGGTGGTGAGTTAGGGGTAGAAATCATCAATTTTATGAACGGAGCACCGTAAGTATCCGAATCAGAGCAGTGGCTTCCTAGGCCACTGAAAAACAGTGGCAATAAAGCCCGTTAAACAAAATGGTTCCAGTGGCTACAATTAATTTCTCCTTGTTTAGAATGACTTCTTCTAATTTCTCTCTTTTTAGAATGGTTCTTCCAATGACTAATTTAATTTCACTGATCCCTTTAGAATGACTCCACTAGCTACATTTATGCGTACTAATTATTATTGCACCTTCTAACTTGCACAAGATCTTACATTTATGTATATTATGGCAGATGATTCTATATATATGTAATAATTATTTTGCATGATATTTTATTAGGATATGATTATTATAAGGATTAAGTGCTACTATTGTTCTTAGATCTACATGTAAAATATAGACCTTCTCACATATTTTTAATATGCTCATAGTTGGTTATCCTTAATTTTACAATGCACATCACATAAAATAATTTTACGTGTGTGATCGATAAAGTGAACATGGACTTAAAGATCATAGAAGAATTTGTCTATTATAGGGGTGTGCACAATTTGGTAAAATTACCGACCAAACCAAAACCGATAGTTTGGTTCGAATTTAATTTAGTTCCATACATTTTTTAGTTTTGGTTCGGTTTCAGGTTGGTTAAAATATGGTTCAGATAGATTTTAGTTCCAGATATAGTTCAGTTCGGATATATTTTGGTTCAGATGTATTTCGGTTTTGGATATCTCTTATTTTCAATTTAATATTAAATTATATGTGTTCCTTTTTTTGACATATCACATTTTCCAATCTATCGTCAATTCGATCATCACCTCATATTATTTTATATTTTCTCTATTTATACTCCTCTGCCCTAAGTAATCTTCCATTTCTTACTTCTTAGTCATATACTCATTTTACAAATTTGGACTACAAATTATGAAAAAATATTTTTAGTTAGTTTTGATATAAATTTAAAATAATTGGTTTGATTTTAACATGTAGTTTTGATATATCAAATAGCATTTATTTTCTTTATTTTTATATATGCTAAGTTAAAAGATAAATTTTAAGAGATTTTAGAAATGAAATGTGAAATGTAGAAATATGGAAACTCCTAAAAAAAGATGATCGGATGAATATTGCAGATATCAAAATTCTTCCTATGGAATATATCGCCTCTTTTCCGTTCCACCCATGTTTCTCCTCTCTCCTATTTTTTTTCATAGTTTTCTTTTGAGTTTTTTCTTGTAGTTTTCTGTGTTTTTTAACTTTGAAGTAAAATTTTAATTAGGTTTCACCATTCATTTTTTTAATGGAATTTTTTTATTTACTTTAATAACCTCACTTGTTCATAGTTGGGCAATTGTTTCCTAGTTGCAAGTTGATGTGATTGGCCCATCCAATTAAAAAAAGGAAGAAGATCAATAGGACTTGCCACAGTTCTCTAATTCCACCACAGTGCAAAAGGAAGATCATTGACCAGTGGAGAAAAGGGGCCAAAGTGGAGCACTCGTCAAACCACAGTTGAGAAGGATGCCAAATTGCCAATTTATGCTCTCCATTTGAGTATGTTATCTGGAAAAATCAATCCCAGGGGTGGATCGGCAATACCATATTGGTGATTCTTTGAATTTTTTTTTTTCAAATTTGGGTTGGCGCGTTGATTATGTCGGCAGAGTACGGCATAATGAACTTTATGTTGGGGGAGCTTTGTGTTTTATGAGACTCTTCTTCATGGAAAAATTGGCTTCGATGAAAGAGTGTGTGCCATTGATGATTTTGTTGATGTAATTATAACGAAGCTCCAGTCACTTCGTCATATA